CAGATGTAAACTGCACGCCACGGTCCGAAGAAATGTCTGAGGGGGTGCCAAAACGGGACACCCAAGTGCCAATAAATGCCCGTGCCACATCAGCTGATGTTACTGATGACAGCGGAACAGCCTCTGCCCACCGTGTGGTCCTGTCGACCATAGTCAGCAGATGTGTGTAACCTTGTGAGGGGGGCAAAGGGCCAACCAAGTCGACATTAACATGGTCGAAACACCGTTCTGGCACTTCAAACTGTTCCAGTGGAGCCTTGGTGTGTCGGTGTACTTTGGCGCGTTGGCACTCCACGCAAGTATTCGCCCAGTCCCTCACATCCTTTTTCAGTCCATGCCACACAAACTTGGCTGACACCAGCCGTTGTGAGGCCTTAGTTCCAGGGTGTGAAAGGCCGTGGATGGCATCAAAAACTGATCGCCTCCATCTTGCAGGGACAACAGGCCTAGGGGAGCCCGTGGAGATGTCACATAGTAAAGTGGTGCCGGTTTCATCAAATGCCACATCCCGAAGCTGCAGTCCTGTAGTGGACGACCGACAAACCTGCACGTCCGGGTCTGTAGCCTGCTCCTTTGCCATGCTGCTGTAGTCCAAGCCAAGGTGGACAGTCCCTGCAACGGCTCGAGAGAGGCAGTCGGCGACATGGTTGTTTTTCCCTGCAACGTGTTTAATGTCCGTCGTGAACTCGGAAATGTAAGTCAGTTGTCGCTGTTGCCGGCCAGACCACGGTTCAGTTACCTTGGACATGGCAAAAGTCAATGGCTTGTGGTCCACAAAAACGGTGAACCGGCGTCCCTCCAGCATTGAACGAAAATGCCGAATAGCAAGGTACACACCAAGCAACTCTCGGTCGAAGGTGCTTTACTTCTGTTCACTGGGGCGTAACTGTCTGCTGAAAAAAGCAAGAGGCTGCCAGGCATCACCTACCCGCTGCTCATAAACTGCACCCACCGCATAGTCTGAGGCATCTGTGGTAAGTGCAATCGGGGCCGAAGAGGAAGGGTGTGCTAGCATGGCAGCCTTAGCCAGGGCCGCTTTTGTGTCAGCGAAGGCCTTGTCCCTGTCCGGGTTCCAGTCGACAGTGTTCTTAGGCTTCCCACCTTTCAGGGCCTCGTACAAAGGTCGCATAGTTTTGGCTGCTCCAGGGATAAAACGGTGGTAAAAATTTACCATGCCCAAGAACTCCTGTAGGCCTTTGACAGTGAGTGGTCGTGGAAAAGCAGCAACTGCCTCCACCTTCGCTGGGAGAGGCACCACCCCGTCCTTTGTGACTCTGTGGCCCAGAAAGTCAATGGTGGAGAGACCAAACTGGCACTTTGCTGGATTGATGATAAGTCCATGCTGGCTAAGACGCTCGAAAAGAGTCCGAAGGTGTGACAGGTGCTCAGACATAGATGAACTTGCTACAAGGATGTCATCAAGGTACACAAAAACAAAGGGGAGGTCCCGTAACACTGAGTCCATGAGCCGCTGGAAAGTTTGGGCTGCGTTCTTAAGCCCAAAAGGTGTGCGTAGGACTCAAACAGGCCAAAAGGTGTGATCACTGCAGTTTTGGGAATGTCAAGTGGATGTACAGGCACCTGATGATATCCTCTGATTAAGTCTACCTTTGAAAAAATCACCTTACCAGCAAGGTGCGTTGAAAAATCCTGCACGTGTGGAACTGGGTAGCGATCAGGCGTTGTCACATCGTTGAGCCGTCGATAATCCCCGCAAGGACCCCAACCACCTCCAGGCTTGGGGACGATGTGTAGAGGAGAGGCCCAGGGACTGTTGGAGCGTCGAACAATCCCAAGGCGCTCCATGGTCTCGAACTCTGCCTTGGCCACAGCAAGTTTGGTCGGGTCGAGGCGCCGCGCGCGGGCATACACTGGTGGACCAGTGGTGGCAATGTGGTGCTCCACACCGTGTTTGGCAGTAGTAGAGGAGAAAGTGGGCTGTGTGAGTGCTGGGAACTCGGTGAGCAGCTGCTGGAAACCGTCCGTGACAGGGAGCATGCTAGAAAGGTGTATTGAGTCAGAGTTACTGAGCGTGCATGCATAAGAACAGAATGTGACTGCGTCGATCAAGCGGTGGTTTTTCACGTCCACTAAGAGTCCATATGCACACAAAAAATCAGAACCCAAAAGGGGAACAGCAACTTTTGCGGTAACAAACTCCCAGCCAAATCGTTGGCCTCCAAAACACAGTTCAACGTATCTTGTGCCATACGTGCGAATGGGGCTGCCGTTGGCGGCTTCCATTGGGGGGCCGTGGCTGTCCGCTACCAAGTCCAGCTGCGATGCAGGCAGGAGGCTCCGCTGCGCCCCCGTATCACAGAGGAAACGTCGCCCAGAGATGTTGTCGCGGATAAAAAGCAGCCTGCCGGCACGGCCGACACTCTCAGCTACTAATGAGCGCCGGCCCTGACGTTTCCCGATCCACTGAAACTGCACGGGGAACGGCACCGTTTGGCCTTTGGGCCAAATCTGGCGTGGTAAAAACATAAACCGGAGGACTGCTGCCGACGAGAAGGTGCTGCTGCTGCGACCAGTCCCTCCCTGAGGTCATCCCGTGTGTCTGTAACTGTCCCAGCGGGAAGGAGCGCGGCTGCACAGTGTTGCTGACTGGCCAGGAAAAATTTATCAGCCTCTGCCGCCAGTTCCCTGCAGTCGGTGATAGCGGTGTTGGCCAAAGCAGCCCTCACCTGAGAAGGCAGCTGACGCAGGAAAAGGTGGAGGAAAAGAAAATCCGGTGTGTGTTCACCTAGCAGGTCAAGCATTCGGTCCATGAGTTCTGAAGGCTTACTGTCGCCCAGCCCCTGAAGGGAGAAAAGCCTACTGGCCCTCTCAGCATCAGAAAGTTCGAAAGTCTTTAGCAAATGAGCCTTCAGTGCATCATATTTCCCCGTTGTAGGAGGGCGTGTAAGAAGGCTCACAACTCTCGATGCCGTAGAGCTCCCGAGGGCAGACACCACGTAGTAGTATTTAGTGTCATCGGCGGTGATCTCCCGCAGGGCGAATTGTGCCTCAGTCTGCGCGAACGCTGAAGCCGACGATTCCCAGAATTCGGGGAGTTTCAGGGACACTGCGTTCGCGGTCATGTTGATCTGGATACGTCCAGCAAACAAACATCGGGGTCACCAGTGTGGAAGTTATGCGTAGTAAAAAGGAACCGACAACTTCTCACATTTTAGACACAAAAAATCGTGTGTCGCTTTATTAACTAAACTCACAACTCGCTATAAACGGCTAATAACGGTAAACAGAACAGCGTGCGTCAAACGTCAACGGGTCTTAAAGGGACCGCGACAATATTGCATATAGAGCACAAACACAAAAACTAAACACTGAACATAGGTGAACATGTAATTAATATGTCTCCAGTTAGTGGTGAATTATGTATGTAATATGTATGCAAAAGGCACTACACTATTCTTTAGTATCGAAATAACACTACTACCTTTCTGAACAAATTAGTCTTTGGTGCATGCTCTTGGTTTTGGCCACGTGCACATCGAGGTAGTAGACTCCATCATTTAGCGTGCCGTGTGCTGCACCGTATCCCGGTCTCCTAGCAACGTGTGGAGAGGCCGGGCCGGAGGTGCAGGAACGGAGCGCGCGTGAGCTTGCTGGGATAATGGATGAGTGTTGTACAAGTGTGCGTGCTGGCTCAGGCCTACAGCGAAGATCAATATCAACTCTACATTCATCTCTAATTACCACAGCAGCAGCCCCTCCATGGCTCTCTACGCCACCCTGCTGCATGTTATTGTAAGGGCCACATCAGGGCCGCTAACAGTGTCGTAGTACCCTGGAATTAGACAATAGAACATGGATTTGACATTTCTGAATTTGACATTAAAACAGACCTATTATGCAGAATCGACTTTGTAGAGCTTTTAACTATGTTATAGTTGTTTGCTCTCACTATTTACACTGTCAAATTTGTATTTGTAGTGATTTGTGCATATTTCAGCACTCTTTAATAGCTTATTTTCTAGACACCCTATTTTGCATCGTCCTTGGTATACAGCCACTGTACTTCTCCAATTTTATTTTCTTAATTGTTGATACACTTAGGATTCGACAGTGTCACATAGTTATTTTGGTACAAATGAAAAAAAAATCTGTTGCTCACAAGCGTGATCTGAAACCATCCACTGGAGGTGCCAACTCTTTGCTGTGATGATGTTTACAGCAATGTCAGCTCCCATTGAGTTAAATTTTTTTAACATGGTAGTCAGCATACTTGTTTGTTTATTTTTTTATTATGAATATTCATAATATTATGAATATTGCAATTTAAAATGTCCAAAGTATAACATAATGATCCATGAGTATCACACATTGTAACTATATAGCAGACACAAGCACAATATGTCTTCTTTAAACAGTTACAGATAAGTTAAAGTATGGTGGAAAAAACAGGGAACCATTTTTTCTGTATGACAAGAAAAAAATTCATAACATTTTGCCAAACATGTCTGTGAGCCCCCACACACCAATGGTCAATATTTCTCTTCTATGTGTTGCTTGCTTCCCTCACCTCCCTTCCTTTAACCCCCTGTTAAGACTCATTTTCACTGGGGTAAACAGGTACAAGTCAAACTGCCTTTCAGTTACATGCACATTCTGAATCTGATATTATTCAAGTTTTTGAGTTACTAGTTTATTAAAATCACATTTAAACAGCACAATCATCTAATTTCTTTCTTATCATAGTCCCTTAAAAAATTTATATCACATAAATTCACATTATTTTTCATATTTAAAAAAAATGACAACAGTAGCTCAATTGCAAAAAAAACCTTCTTTTATCATAATACAACTTATAAAATTGTATAATCTTGTCATAGTAACACAAAACTAACCTCTCTCCCTGATCCTGTACCTCTATCACCCTGGTGAAAACATACCCTCATAAACCCTCCCCTTTAATCCCTATTATTACTCCACAGATCTCAGCCCCTTCCCTCTCTGAGCGTTTGACTGACTGTTCTCCCTGTTGTGTGTCTCAGTGCTAAGCATAGGGGAAGGAGGATTCTGGGAAGGCACGGTGAAAGGGCGCACGGGCTGGTTCCCCGCTGACTGTGTGGAGGAGGTGCAGATGAGGCAGTATGACCCACGACTAGGTAAGACCACTACTACTACTACTGCACTGTAAACAAACTCGGTGAAACGAGCTGAGAGTTATATGGAAAATACTGGCAGCCATTGTGTGAATTTACCGTTTAAAAAGTAGCAATGTATACTTTTAAAGAATGTTATACTGGAATTGTAAAAAGTATTGAAAATCAGATACTAACTGATACTGCAACTAGTATCAAAAGTACTCATTTGCACAGATATGAATGCTAAAAAATTCACATTCTCAGGACAGGAATTACTTTAGAATGGTCTTGAACTATATCAGAAGTAGAAGACCGCATAGACTAGCATACATCCTTGGACCACTACCTGGGTGACTGAGGGATTACGCAGATATAAGGTCACATGGTAACATGAAAGAAGTACTATGATTTAATGTTGAAAACCACATTCTATTGCCTAAATAAAGAGAAACTGAGTTTGAAATGTTTGTATCGTCACAACACTGTTATATTATAGAAATTAAGTACCTTTTAATAAATTAACTTGTCAGTGTTTGGTCTGGTGCTGTCCATGGTACTGAAGTGAACCATGCATCTAAGAGAGTTAAAGGAACTGTATGTAAGATTTAGGTTTTCATTAATGTATTAGTTAAAACAATTGTGACTTCTGTTGAAAACTTTGCTGTCAAACAGTGATGTCTGTCTGAATTTTTTATATAGTCTGACACTAGCTCCACTATGAGCCTGGTCACCATGCCCTCTGCCGTGTCTCAAGTCAGAACCAGACAAGATTGTATCAGGGTTTTTTTGGGTTTTTTTTCAGTTACACTTGTGAAACAAAGCTCATTGGTCACCGATTATTAACAAACAAAATGACTCTCACCTCAGATTAACAGAGTTTAGTGCTTTGCTCATTGATTCTGCAGACATCCTTGATGTTTTTCAGCCATATTTGTTTTGATGTGGACAGACCATGATCCACGATTGGTTAATCTACCGGTCAGTCAAGCCCATTTGAAAACTAGGAGCTTAAACTGTGACCACATTTACATCTTCGTGTGTATTCTTGATCCTAGGTAATTTGAGAACAGACCTGAACCATTTAAAATATTTAAAATGTAGAATATAATACTTACAATATTCACAAACTGGCCTTTTTTTTAAATACAAAGAATCATATTGTTATCCGAATGGCACTTAGGCCCTTTATATCTTTATCTCTCTGGCTCATCTTTTACCACGCTCACTTATCTCTCATTTACATCTGTGTAAACACTACACCGCACTTTATCATTATGCTAATTACATGTAATCAGGCACTGTATAATTATTGAAATCAGACTTCCTCAGTGCGTTTGTTAACTCCAAATCGAATGTGGATTGTGTAAAAGTATTGTTTGAGATTCTTTGCTTCCAACAAGGCGTTTAAGCTTTCAGGGACGTTTAATTAGAGGGAGATGGAAAGGTCATTGTGTTTAGGCTGTGTTAAGATGTGCTGTGCTGCTGGGCTCAGTGTGAGACAGGCTGGTGAAGATTCACAAATGTCATTTAAAACTATGCTGAACATTAGGAGTACATGGAACATTGTACTCTTAACTTTTATTACAATTAAAGGCACTGTAATTTCGGGCTGTAGTTGACACAAGAAATTCTTGGTCAACTAAAAGCATGTCCTGCAGATCAATTGGTTCACTATAAAGGGACATTGCAAAGCTCTCAAAACTATTATGTATCTCTTTATATCTGACTCTAACTGCACTCACACCATAGCAGTGATAAAAAAGAAGCTTTGTAAACAGTAGAGTGTCAGATGTGTCTCTTCATTAGTAGATGGCACTGTATTTGCTCTCATCTCAGGGGCAGCAGACACATGCACAGACACATGTACAGCCACACTAGAAATACACTTTGGCAAGCCGATTTGATCGGTACATTTCATCTTTTAATTGTGCTGTTTTCAATTGAATTTGATCTAGTTTTGATTAGAAAACATTGTTTAATAAGTCTCTTATATGTGGCTGGGCTGGTAGTAGTAGTTCAGTTGGTACAGAGTTATCCCACTAACACAAAGGTTGGATTCAATCCCTCATGCCAGTGCATACTGATGTTGTGTCCTGTTGTGACCACACACCCATTTGTAGGCCTAACTAGAGTGCACTGAATTGAATTTTACAAATTTATCAATCTGGAACGGCTTTTGCTGAAAGTGATCGGGAAAATGTGGAATGTCATGATGTTAATTTGAAAAATCAGCAAAGTTTTATTACATCCAGTTGAGAAAAAAGCACATCCCTGTCCACAAATACACAAAGCACTTACCTTCTGAACATTTTTCACAAACAAAATCATCTGTATTTTCTAGGGTTGTGCTGATACTAATGCTGGTATTGGTAAAAGCTCCGATACCGCACATTATTCAGGTGTCGGTGGAGAGTACTCAGACCAAATCACCGATCCAATATCACTGTGTATTTTCCTGAATGAGGACCTGTAGATGCAAGCAGCTGCTGTTGAAGTCTGTGGCTAATGCTACCGCTAACGCTCAGAGCAGGTTAAATGCAGATGTGGAGGCTCTGTGGATACATAAAATATGCTAATAATGACAGAAAATCATTTGTGTTACCTCTTTAATGCCTTCATTTAGCCTTTGTTCTGGATGCTAGCAGTGTTTGTGCATTTGTAAAAGTTAGTTAATGACAGGGAATAGGGGAGAGAGCATCCAGTTCAGAGCAGAGCTCCTCTGTTGTTAGAGTGGAGCGCTTGTGTTCTGTGTACTGTTGACCACAAAGATTGAATGCAGATGCAATCAGATTTTTTCCACTATCAGAAATCTTTCGTTGCAGACAGCCAAAATCGTATTGTGGACACATTCTTAACAAACACAATAGCAGCCTAGTGCACACAGCAGCCTAGTGCACACACATTAGCCTAGTGCAAGCATTAACTTATTGCACATAGCAGCCTAGCATATGCTCTCACAAGTGGCGTTTATCCAAAGACAAGCACTGAGGCATCACTGACAGCCACGCCAATACCTTTCAGCCTAGTGAAGCACAAAGCCAGACCTGTCCACAATTAAGAAACCCAAATACTGTATTGCACTGTCCCCTTCCTCTGCCCTCTACTGTAACAGGCCACTGTGACACCTGATGCGCTTCTTCAACATATGTCCAGGATTTGTGACAAGGTTTCAAAATGACTGACATAAAACCTTAACAAATTATACATTTTTTTTCACTGCATCTCTGTTTGTATGGTTCTTATTTAGAATCTATCTATTCTAACCTATCTAATGTGACTTCTCATGAGGCTTCTCCCATATGGCACAGGAAAGTGTAAAAATTATTCTGATAACCAATTATGTTAAAGATTAGAGAAGGCATTGTGGGTGAAGTGTCTTGCCCAGGGACACAAGGAAAGTATGCATTGGGCTTGAGGTTTAAACCAGATATTTGATTGATGGATGCTTGACCTTAAACACCACACTTACTAACTTCATAATAAAACCTGTTCTCAAATCCTGTGTCGTCAAAGAGGATTTTTTTTGTTTGTTTGTTTGTTTGTTTTTTAACCTGTATATTTTTGCTACTTTGTTCATGTTATGGTGTTGTGGAGTGATTGTGGCCTGCTTACATGTACTTCGGCAGAATTGTGTCATGCTTTTTCCAGGAATGCATTCTATAGTTGTGGGATAAGGTGCATTGTCTGACTTTCTGGTTTATAGTTGTTGTTAAAGTGTGTTTCTGTCTCTCTATGGCATCTCTGGTTCAGTAGTGGTACTTGTTACAGTTTGTGAGAGTTTGTTATTTTATTGCTCTTGGTTGTTGGATAATAAAACCACTACTGCATCAAAAAGGGTACACATAATTATTAATATGTATAAGGAATATTCAGGAATAATTTTACACTTTAAGTTACATTCAAGTTACATTGTGCTTAGTAGGGTTGGGTGGTATCCAAAATTTCATGATACCGTCTCAGGATTTACGGTATTACCGTATTACCAAAACGTCAGCGTTTACGTGCGTAAGGGCCTGGCTCTACTGCACGCGTCAGCGTTTACGCCCGTAACCTCACGAAACCACAGCCGCGCGTCAAAGGTGGCTCCACAGTCAGTTATTAAAGGTTCCAAGGAATGAGAAATCCAGCGACTGTTTGTCCTTTTTCAAATGTTGCGCATGCGTGAAACCACCCCCCCTCCCCTACAGCTCCCTACGTAGAAACGCCTCCTCCCTCCTCCTCCTTACGCCAGAAACAGGTTTGTTTACAGCCGGTGCTCTGCACATGACTTGTAAACAACTAACTACAGTGTTGGTTAGGCAAGGTGGAGAAGTGAGGAGCGGGGGGAGCAGGTGCGCGGACGAGAAGTGAGGAGCAGGGAGAAGAGCGGAGCAGGGAGAGGAGAGAGGAGAGAGGAGAGGGGAGCGGTGAGCGGAGATTCCGTGCCCAGAGAAGTGAGGAACAGGGGGAAGAGCGGAACGGGCAGCGGGGAGAGGAGCAGGAATTCAGTGCGAATGAACTAGCTACAACACGCAGCAGCAAGCGGACTCTTTCTTTGCCTTGAAAATGACGTTTTCAGACATAGGATATCGCTTTCGTGTCCTGAAAAACATTTGTCTAGCTCTTGGAAATAAAGTACGTTTTCATAATAAGCAGAAGTTACCTGTCCAGGAGTAATTTGGCGACCAGTGCGTCAGTCTTTAGACCCTTCGTCTGCTTCAGTTGCGCCATCGCTGGAATGAATCTACAAGAATCACCTTAGTTTGGCTTCGCTGCTTTTCCCCTTGTCTTCTTCTTTCAGCGACCTCAAAAACTGACTTTCTTTTGCGGCTAACTGCTCCTGGATTCTTGTCTGCCATTGCAACAAACTTTGTGTGAACTGCGAGGAAGATATAGGTCAAAAAAAGCCGCTAAGAACTGTTGCGTTGGTGGAGTAAACAGCGTCTGTGCGTCTTGCGTCTGTGGACTGCGTGACAGGCGTACGTAAACCACGTACCTATGTTCAGAAATCTACGCGCGCAGGACGTGCTGCTCCATACGCG